GATAGACCCTGAATGAGCTGGGATAGACTCCAGCCCCCCTCATGAGGATTAGATAGATAATGGATGGACGCTGGTGTAGGGTCAATATGGATAATATTTTGTTGCGAAAGTTCAAGCTATTCCAGTTGAAAAATGCACTTTATTTCATCCACTTCGTGGTTTTGCAGAACCTGTATCCCACTTAACATTTCCGTGAAATTTTGTCCAAATTTGCGTTTTAATTTCTGAGTTATGACATGTGGATATCATCTCCAGGTGTTCAAGAGATGTCGCAAGGATGCAGCGTACAGACAGACAACCCAGAAACACTGAGCTATCTGCAGCATATTGCACAAGATGCAAGACGCTGACGTCAGCTGCTCGTTATAGAGTTGCTTCTGGTTTTTTTTGGTTTTCTATCAGTTTTAATTGAGCTCACAGCGACACTGTGGAAACATTTTGGTTCTTAGAGGTGAATTCTTGTATTAAACCTACCGGTAATAGTGATGTTGACGGCGCTGCTTCTCTCTCCTTCTTCGCCTTCACACCAGTATTCTCCACTGTCGGTTTCGAAGGCGTTGAAGATGCAGTCCATCGTCGGCTTTCCCGTGCCGTTCCTGCACGTTGGTACGAACCCGTTGGTGTTCCTCACCCCTCTCCATTTAATGGAGGGATCGAACCCCACACAGCGAAATGAGATGGACTGGTATTCAAAGAACTGCAGTCTGGAGGGAACAATATAAAGAGAAGCTGCATCTGAGGCAAAGAACGAATAAAAAGACAACGAAGAAAAGCACAATTAGACACAAGAGACCCAACATATCAGGAAAAAACAAATTAAAATGGTGTTATTTAATCAAAATCTATTCATTTATTCAACCCGACTTTGGATTTCAGATGTAATCCAACATGCCAACGCTTAAACTAAAATGGAATTAAAGATTTTATTTTTTAGGTCTGTTAAATATTCTCCACTTACTGCCTGTCAGAGCGTAACTCCAGTGACCAAGTGCAACCAGCAGCAACACTGGAGGGAAAAAAAAGACAAAAAGCAGTAAATTAGAAGCTTTCATGCATGAACCTGACATGATAAAGAAGCCGTTAGTTGTTTATGGACGTTACATCGATTCAAACGTTGGAAATCCTCAGCCCCGCTCTGCGATTCTTTATGATTTACCACAGATCAACAGATGGTTTTAAATGAGTGAAAAGTGAAAAATACAATAAAACTAATGCAGATACTCACACAGTTGGAAGCAGGCAGCTCTAACCTCCATGTCGCCTCATCGTCTGAGCATCGTGAGTCTGCAGGCGGAGCTCAGAGCTTCCTCCTCTTTGGTTCTCTTTGGTGGATGACGCAAGTTTGAGCTTCACCAAGAAGCCGAGCTGATCTCAGGGGGAGGGTCCACGAAGCTGCGTAAAAGGACTTTTCTTCCTGGTGTCTTGAGCTGTCGAGTCGGACAAAATCAAGACAGCTCCCTCCAGAAGATTATTAGCTCAGCATCAGTGCAGCTCTAGAGTTTCTACATGTAGAAGGTTCTGTCCAACAGCAACAATACTTATATGTATATGTCTGTTTGTGTTATTTTTTGTACTCATTCTCGTATGTTTCTGCTCTTAGCTGCTGTAACGCTGTAGTTTTATCTTATCTTTCATGTTCTGGCAGCTGGAGCTCGACACACTCTGTTTAATCGTTGGTTACTACTACATCCATTACAACTACTACACTGCTGGTTTGAAAGTCCAAAGTCAGCTTTTCCAGTCCGCATGGAAGACTCGATTCTTCGCCCAAAATCTGTGCCCACTTGGTAACTACGGTACAAGATCTGTGCAGAACCTGAATTACATAGATGCTGATCTAGTACACATATGGAACAAAGTCCTCCGAGCCGCCACGCACTCTTTTAGTGTCACGTACAGCTTGTTCATACAATAAAACAGCACTTCAGCACAAGTGTTGGAATCTCACAGAAACTTCTCAAGAGACGACAAAACCTTTACCATTTGGATCTTTTATAATATCAGAAAGACAAACACACTGGCATCGACACATTTCACTAAACAACCATCAAAGAAATGAAACTCAACACGGTCTCTGTAACCAACCAGACAGTAAATTATCCCGTCGTCTCCGTCATTCAGTTGATTCTGCTGTCAGTGATCTGTACGAAGAAACTGGCTAATATTCAGATACTTGCTAGGGTTCCTTTTACATCATGGAACCACAAAGAAAATCATGTAATAACTTAAGAGCAGCGGGTAGAGTCTTATGATCACAAGAGGGGCTCTTTGTTGGAGTGGGTTTGCTCTGCTCGTAGCCCTGGTGGTTCTGTTTCCATAGAGGTGCAGGACTTTAGATTGAAGTAAACAAAAATGAGCCTACGTGAGGAAAAATGTGACATTAGTGTGGCGCCGTTAGACCAAAGGGGGATGTGGGGCGTAGGAGAGAGTAATATGTGAGCTGTACCAGTATCTGGAGAACCCGACAACGCCACCTGGGGACTCTCACCCCAGGAACTACGAGTTAAATGTAAACTACCACAATTGGTCACACAGGTCACAAAGGTCACACAAGTTCGTTTGCTAAGAGAAGACAGAGACGTGGTTCAAATCCAAAGAAATTGCAGTTTATTGATTATTTGGTGGAATGGTTGATTAGTAACTA